TAGTTAGAAACATGAAGGCCTAATCAATCCTCATTACGACTATATTTATAATATCTTTACTAATATATATATATATATATATATATATTGCAGTTACATTTTGTATCATAGTTCTCTTTGTTTTTTCTTTCTTCCTAATCCATCCATGAGAAACAAACTAAGTAGGAAGATTTACAACAACTCAAACAATGGTGATGTCATGATAATATAATTTTTTTTATTCGTGACTTTTAAAATACCTATTGTAAAAACAATGATGATTTATGATGAAATAACTATGTAAAACTGTTAGTTAGTATGCTATCTTCTTTCTCAATTCTCATATTGTAATTGTAATTTTATTGCATGCATATATACTGAAGGACTTGTATCTAATGATATTTGACAATATACATATCTCTGCCAATTGCTATTGTACAGACATATTTATTTGCCTTTTCTGTTACAAAGAATTACTAGGTAACAATTTAGACAAAAATTTATTCGCTCAAATACGACTTTGCTACCTTAAAATATAAGGAGTTTTGTTCTTCAAAAAAAGAAATTTAAACACTTAAGTCTTTCTTCTTCTTTTTTTGTCATCACAATTAGTTTCCACCATTAAGGCTATATTAGGAAATTTGTTCAACACCAGTTAAACAAATATTTTTCAGAGAATGAGTTGGAATTGTATTACATTGAAATAACTGCGATACAAAATCAAGGGGGTCAATTTGTGTTGTATTTAAAATAATAATAATACTAATAATAAGAATAAGAATAAGAGATCGAACATATTCGTACAGACAATCGCTCCTCAAGAATGTTTTAACATTTCCCCCCGTTTTTTCACTTTTGGTGAAGATTCCACAGTATTGCACTTTTCTCTTCTATCATTCACGGTGGTGATGAATATTACCCTGCTGGGACTTCCTCTCTCTCTTAAAAGCTTTAAATAGATCCAAGCCAAGACCAATGTTCAGCAAATTCATCCCAGCCATGCCAAGCAGAGCTAGTGGTAGCTCTATACCCTTTTCAAATTTGTGAGCATCCCTGATGAGCTTGGCTGTGATGAGAATGTGAGGTGCAGACCTTGCCACGAAGAAGGTGAACCAATTAAGAAACCATTCTATCTTAACAAGAGTGCCCTTTGCATTCCGAAAACCTGCCATTCGTCTCACTTTTCTTACATGCAGAAAGATAGAATGCAGCTGTAACATCACAGAAAAGTCCACCTTAGTCTATGCAGCATGCAGTAGAGCTTAACAACACATATATATACACAAATTAGAAAAGGGGAAGCCATAGGGCAAAATATTCTAGTCATTTTAAGGGGAAAAAGTCATAAAAAACTATAACACTAAACACTTTGAGTTGTAAAGTGTTGAAATTGTTTTAATTATACATTAGTGGTTGTGTTTAAGTGTTATTATGTGTTGAGAAACTTTAGAATACGATAATTCCTTATACGTTTAAGTAATGTTGAGAGTTTTTCTGGATAAAGGTTCAATTTGAGCCCAATGGGGGAAGTATATAAGGTTTCTGTTTTGAATTGAAGTTCATAAGTTTAGTTCTTCAGCAACCTAGAGAGAGTAAGTCTAGAGAGAAGTACTCTAGTCCGTGAACTTCTTTCTCTTCTAAATCTTCTCTTCCACAACGATTCCTTTACCCTAAACTGAATCTTGTTGGGTTGGTGTTGTTTTAGGACAGTAGGAACTTGAAACTAGAGGTCTAGTTTGTGCAAAGCATCTTGAGGTTGTGCAGAGTTTTCTCTTCTTTTCCTTACTCATTTTTTAGTGGATCTTGAGATAAGGGAAGCTAGATTTTTGGTTTAATTGAGTAGCTGAGTTGTATAGTGATGTATGAGTTGTATATTGTATGAATTCCTTTGAGATTAATGGTTGTGTTGATCAAATCATAGTGGGTTGCAAATGAGAATTGGGGTTTGGAGTTCATGAGGAAGAATGTGATGATTTGCTATGAATTGTTGTCGCATGTTGATTTTGAGTGCATTTATGTGTTGATTGTGAGGTATATAGTTGATTTGTAAGGTTGCATGCTTGGAAGTTGCTAAATTTCAAGTCCTTTAAGGCAGATTCACGTTCTGCAAAAGTGTATATTATTTGTCATGCTAAGCACAACTTTGAGGTGTTGGATGTGGTTTCAACACGATGCCTTCTGTCTTGTCACGTTGAGCACATGATTGGTGCCACTGGAAATGAGGAGAGAGACTTGTCTTGAGTTGGAATATTATAGAGCATGGTTTAGCGTCAGGTGTGAGAGCAGTAGGAGGTCTCTAACTTAGTGACGTCAAGCCCTGGTGGAGTGGTACCCAACATGGTCAAGCCAAGACTCTCTGCCTAGACGACGTTGGGCACCAATATGGTAACATCGGGCATGAGTCAAGTAGAGACTCCTTGTCTGAAATGAGGTCGGACATGGGACTTTGTCACGCTAAGCCTGAGGTCCCAAGGGCCTCTACTTGATCCATGCTGGGTGCAAGTTGTATGACATTGGGCGTAAGTGAGGCAACGGATTCCCTATCTTGATGAGCCTAGGAGTGTGGTGTCGGGCGCTGAATGTTTATTAAAATTCTTGTTGGTTCCAGTATGAGTTGAGGGAAATGAGTAGATTTGAGTTGTTTAATGCATGTTTTAAGTTGCTAAAGGTTGATTATAATATATAAGTTGATATATGATGGTAATTAGAGATGATGGATGGTTGAGAGTTGAAAGTGAGTTAAGTTGTATGTCGTGTGTTGGTGGTGTAACAGTGTTGAATATGCTTTTAGCATGATGTTGTGTTGTTAAGATGATGAATGTTAAGAATGTTTTAGAAATTTACGCATGGTATTGAAAGTTGTATTAATCAACCTAAGACTAGACGAAAGATTGTTTTTAAAGTTGTATACCTCATTGTGAGAATATTGTATTGTGGTGTTCTAAGAGTCCAATTTGTTGAAAAACCCTTCTTAAGAAGTTGACCTTTGAAGATGACAATTGAGTCTCCTCTAAGACCTTAGTTGGTATCATGTGTGGGTAAGATTAAGGTACACGTGTCTAAAGCGACCAAAGTATGAGGGCAAGGATGAATTATATTGATTACAAATAACCAACCGAGTAAAATACGAAGTCAAGAACTTAGTTCCTAATTGAGTATCTGAAAGGCATAGTATTTGGAGGGTAATAGACGAGTTAAATCCATAAAAGGCTTTGTTAAGTTAGTTAATGTTGTGATAGACCTATACTTAACTGTTCTACCATAATAATAACACTAGATTTCCTTATTTAAGTCACGACATCTGAAAAACCAAGTTGTTATGTTGTGGATTGATATCTAATTTATTGTTGATCTAGCAAGCCAAAAAAATCACCCTAATATGTTGGTTTGGTAGAGTCAAATCACTTAAACTATTCACTTTTTTTTAGGAGATTTTCTATTGAAATGCGTGACAGCGCATGTAGTTGCTAAGTTGTATATATTGTGTTGTTGTGATGAACAATCCAAATTTGATGTAATGATGTTCAACTTGATATTGTGTTGTAGTAGATATATGTTGGTTGTGTTGTGATCTTATATGTTGATAGTGTTGAAGATGTAGAGAAGATGTGATGATATTTTAATGTTGAGGATAATTTGCATTGTATATATGTTGTCTCTATAAACTCTAACTTATCCTTGCATGTTTCCATTGAATGGACTGTGATAATCATACTTGATATATAAGTAGAGCAGAGGTTTCTATGGGAGCTATTTTAGAGGCCATGTTGAGATTGACGATATTGATATTTTGAGCTACCTTAGAGTAGTTAGTAGATAGTAGGAGTCATTTGACCAGCAACTTAGGTTGTTTAATTTACTTTTATTTGATTATTGTATTTATATCATTTATGTTTGTACAATTGTTTTACTTTCATATGAATGATATATAATACATATTCAGATATCAGTAGACATATAACTCTAAATTATTAGTTATCTTTTTTTTTTAGTCGTTAAGTCATTAAGTGTAAGAATTGATGGGTCATTACAAAAACTATACACAAAAAAATCAGAGTTTAAAAGGAAATGTGACTTACCTCACAGATAAGAGTGAGAATAAGGTAGTTGATGGTAACATTTCGGTACAACGCTAGAGTGAAGCAAATAAGGAGAACCAGATGATGCACAAGAATAGAGGGGATCCAACCACTATATAAGCGGTAACGAAGCATATCCCACTGATCATATGCAAAGTAACCACATGAAAAGCTCAACGCTTCAAACGCCCATGGCCAAGTATTTTCAACCAACTGTGAGTGGTCAAACATTCCACTTGACCCATTAGTTAACAACTCTCTGAACAAGATGAAGACCACTGCAAAAGAAAAAGGCAATAATACCAAGGCCTATATGAGAAGAGGAAGGACAAAAATATTAAAATCACTGTATCTACGGAAATTGTCTGCAATCCAACAGAAAATAATTTTATCAAAGGAACCACCAATCAAAAAAAAAAAAACAGGATTTTACAGATTCGTGTCCATTACAAAACGGGACTTCTAGAACGCTTGACTAAAGGATGTTCTCTACTAGCACCACTCATCACTCTTCGGTATCTAACAAGCAAAAGAGTCTTGGACTGACGATTTTGGAAATCAACCACAACAAGCTGATGCATAGCCAAGGAACTGGGTTTCAATTCAACCAAAGGTGTAAGTTATTGAAGTTGCTACTATTAGGAAAAACTCAAATATCAGATCAATTAGAGATAAAAGAAAGATAGAATATATAAATGAAGACAATTTTTCCCTTATAAACTAATTTTTTAAGATTGAGTTAAGTACAAACTCATATTTTAAAATAATAGCAAGGCTGCCCTAAAACTATTAAAAGGGACACCTTATCCACACACTAAGTCCAATTATATCGGACATGATGAAGTGTGTCGGGAAAAACCTACCTTACAAGCAGAGTTATGGGATCAATATCAAATTCTATAGTTAACACTCAGTAGTTCATATAAGCACTTACAAAAATAATGTGTCTTTGGTATCAAGGTATAATGCATTAAAACTGATTTTGCCTTATGGTAAAATCCGTAAAGCATCAGAACCAAACGCCACTCTAGTAAGAATAAAAATGTTTGGCTATTGTTAGAGAAAAATTGATAGTGTCGAAAACCCCGGTTTGACTAAAAAGTAGCTTGTGTTGTGTGTTAGGTTGAAAAAGCGGTAGTGACTGATAACCATAAAGCAAAGGAAGCAATTAGCGAAATAAAAGGATGTGGGTAGAAGTAGAAGAGACCTGAAGTGGAGGTGACGAAAGAGTGGAGAAGAGAGACGGAGGTGTTAACGAAGAGAGGATCGTTCTGAGTGGAAGAGAAGAATCGAATTATGGAGTTGAATGTCTGATAGAAGACGGAACCCGCGATGACAGAGAGTAGTTCCCACCGTTTGTTCAACAAAATCTGGAAACAAACGGAAGCCAACCAGAGAATGAGAGTGGCTGAGAAGAACGTCTCCACCGCACCCATTGCGTCTCTCGCGCCTCTTTCATGTCCATCAACCGCATTCTCTTCTATTAATTCCTAATTTGTCTGCGTTATGCGCTAAAATTAAATTCTGCTCAAAATTTTTTAATTATATTTTAAATAAAAATTTATCCAATGTCTATTTTTACGGTGATTAAAAATATGCATTTCATGCCCTTTAACTTATACAACATATCTATCGAATAAAAAAGTATTTAATCAATTAGATTTTTTTCTTATATATATTTCAGAGACAATTTTTTTTAGATACGGTTGAACAGTTAGAATATATATATATGGGTCAAAATTTTATTTTACCTAATTAATTTTACAATATAATCTTACAAATGATGTCCAATATGATTTGATTTTATTTAACAATCTGTTTAACTCTTCAAAAATTTGACTTATGAAATATTGAATATATTATTAATTAAACATTCAAAAATTAAATAAAATTGATACTATTCAAATACTATTTTATTAAAAATAGTAAGAATGAAAATAAATATATGGAACTTGTAAATATTAAATTGTAATTAAAAAGTATATCAATTGTTTAAGGGGTTTGATAAGAATTTTAAAAATATTTATTGTATATGTGTTTAATTTTATCATTTCATCATTTAATTTAATATTTTATTTTATAAAAATATTGTTAAAAGAATTGAAAAAATTATATATCTATTTGATATATTTAAAAGAAATTGATAAGTTTTGAAGTGCATATTCTGAGAGACAAGAAAAATATTAAAAAAGTAAAAGAAAAAAAATAAATTTATAATAAGTAATATGAAGAAAAAAGAGGCAAAGTATAAAATATATTTTCAAATTAATCCATCAAGCTATTTGACATGATAAGGATATTTATTATTCTACATAATATGATATTGGTAATAATGTAATATAATATGATATGATACTAAGTAGAAGATTATGTATCGTTTTGATCTTCTACCAACTAAATTCTATAAAACTAATCACTTTTAAGTCGACCTTTCTAGATTGACTATTTTGAGACTAGTCACTTTTGGTCAATCTTTCCAAATTGATCACCTCCAAGTCAAACACCTTAAGAATTATCATTTTTAGGTTAATCACCTTTGGGTTAACCATTTTTAGACGATCACTTTTAATTGATCTTAAGGTTATTTTTATTGCAAAGCCATTTAGGCTTACACCTTAAGCTCCAAAAGAATAATTATATATATATATTATAATTGATTTTTTTATTCAATTTCATGTGTAAAAATATAAATTATTATTCTTTATCAATGATTAATGAAAAGACAAAAAAAAAAAGTATGAATATAAAAAGTTTTGTTGGAAATGAAGAATTGTTTAGACTCTCAAAATTCTTCAACATGATCCTAGCTAATATCCACAAGTTGATCACCTATAGGCTAAACACTCTTTCAAGCTGACA